CCGGAGGCATATTATTACACAATTTCTTTATTCATTTATTTACAAGACTACATTCGTTGAGAGCTATGCTACACGATGTATTATTATGTCCTTTATTCTAACACTGTATTTACCTTCCTTTGATAATTATTATATAATTTAACAGTGCTAACGGTTATCTTGATTTATATTATATGCAACTATTTGTTTCTAGCCGTATTTATTGTGTAATGGAGTGTATCTGGTGGTATTTGAATCTGTTCAACCATGAAGCCTCCGTGGTCTAATGGTTATGACGCTCGCCTTGACAACGAGAGGTCGCATGTTCGAGTCCCGCCAGAGGCATTTTATTTACTTTATTCATTTATTTACAGGACTACATTCGTTGAGAGCTATGCTACACGCTGTATTATTATGCTCTTTATTCTAAATGTATTTACCTTACTTTGATGATTATTATATAATTTAACAGTACTAACGATTATCTTGATTTATATTATATATATATATATGATATAAATATAATATGTATGTATATATATATATATATATATATATATATATATATTCAAAAACAACACAACAGATCGTATCTTCATCATAGGCAAAGCCTATATTTAGTCATAATTATTATGACCTTAACGGCCCCAACAAGACATGTTTCGGCAGTCTACTACCATCGTCAGTTATCTTCTTGCACGCAGGCAATCATTACTATAGGGGAGTAAAAAATTCAATGTTTTGCATGCTAAAAAATTGCGGAATGAACCGTAACAATACTACAAAACAAAATATAAAGAGGAGATAAAATCAGAGTGCAGTGTCTATGCCACAAAGGTGGTTTTGTCGGCTACTGGCTTACTGTTTATTCAATTTTACGTAGCTAGATTACATTTCCATGTATTTTAAATTGTTTATAAGTACACAATGCTTATCAACTCATCGTTAATTAGGGATGTAAGATGACGTTATGTATAAACATTTGATAAACTGAACATTTACCAGTGAATTTATAAAGGTAAACTTTGGCTTTCTAGGGAAATGCCTAGGCACAAAACGTAGGCCAACTTTTCCAAATCGTCATTTTTGTACTTTTTTAAAAGCGTACACGTGCCTTCAACCCTCTCCCCCAGCGTACGTTTTGTACGCTCGTGAAAATTATGAAGATGACCCCTTAGGATCGACTGCATAGCTTTTCAAATTACAAAGCTTCTTTTTTCAATAATTTTATTTAAGTCCGTAGTTACAGTAGGGGGAAGGCACGTCACTCTCGAAATCAACAATTAGTGCGATGCAAAGCAACAATAATTATATTAGATTGGATAGCTAATTCCAAACATGCCATTGATACATTGCAATCGGAACCGTCATTGTTTTTCCTTTGGGCTTTTTAGTCCATGTACTGGGTCTTAATCGGGCATTTTTCAATTCTTTGCTCCCAGGTAATCGGTTGTAACTAGAGCTCGTAAATATTTCTCGGGACGTCGTATTTACAGGGATAAAAATCTTTCAAACTGGTCTTTCACAACATCCAGAACCGTAGGTGTTTGTTATACCATCAGTCTGCTATTCGAGACTCTAACATATGCACTTGTAGGCCTAATTAAAAAAACTAAGTCATGTATATGTATTTTTAGCATGTGTTATGTTAATCAGGCCTACGTCTTTTTTATATGTATTTCATAATTTATTCGTCAACTCGTAAACAATATAATATTGCATTACCGTAATGTATTCGTGATTAGTTAAAGCCTATATGGAGGAAAATAAGCATACTGGTACCCTTGGTATTCATAACATATGTTTTATTTAATTTCGCCGAATTCTTTTTTGTATCAATTTCGCAATATCTGTCAACTCGTATAAATATATAGGCTTATAGTTTTTGTTATAAGTCAATCGTGACGTCATCACTGCAACTCCCGATGTTATTTGCCTATTCCTCAGCGTCCCCTAATTTTTCTATTAGTGGGCGCTTGGCTTGATTTTATTTTTAGGTTCGTGCGCAATAAAAAATCTCATTTTTTCGTCACCGCGAATACATCGCGCACCGCGATAAAAATTGAATTGTAATCGAAAATTACTATTCTAAAATAAGCTTATATTAGAACCCGAAGAAAGTTACTTGGAAGAAGGAGAAAGCTATGACGTGTGTGGCTGAACTGTGTTTGGTTGAATCAGGGAACAGTGAAATTACACTAATGTAATTTCACTGTTCCCTGGTTGAATCATGGTAGGAAATAAAATAAATTTCACTGTTCCCTGCAGATACCATAGAAGCTTAATTTTTGAAGCAGGCGAGCCTTACTACTAAAATCAAATACCGCTATGTCTGTCGTTTGACGTTTGTTATGGTAAGATTCAAGGTCATGGATTTGTAGATATAAGTTGGGTTTCACATGATCGAGATCTTCTAAAAGCGTGCTGAGCATCTGTGAGTATAGGGTGTTCTGTCAATTGTCTCATAATGTGGCTATCTATAATATGTTCAAATAATTTACTGGAGACACATGTTAAGGAGATTGGTCGGTAGTTACTTGGATTTGATTTCTTCGTTCCTTTCTTGAAGGTTGGGGGAGGTTGCCCTGTTTCGAGTCTTGCGGGAGCTCACTGTGTGTGAAGCTTTGTTGGAAAATAAATTGTAGGGCAGGTGCCAGCTCCGAGGCAGCTATCTTTAGTGCAGTGTTCGGTATCTCATCTGGTCCGATAGATTTATTAGTTTCCAGTGATTTGAGCGGTTTTTTCAATACCTGCATTTGAGATTTCTATAGGTGGCATGTCTGGGTAAGGACTGGTACTTAACGGGTTGTGTATGGTCTGGATATCTGTAGAAAAAACACTGTGGAATTGTTCACCCAATTTATTTGCTTTTCCTTCATCATCAGTAATGGTCTCGACCCGATCTTGAGTGTCTGTATTCTGACGTGGTCTTTTTTTACGTGATCTAACATACTTCCAGAATTTGTTCATGTCTCCAGATATTGAAAGTTTGGATATGTACTTTCTGTTTGATTTCTGAGTTCCCTGTCAACCTTCCGTCGAATATCTTTAAATGTGTTCCAATATTCGGGCGGCAGTACCCTCCCTTTTTATGTACGTTCGTTATTTTTTCCTACATAGTCTTTTGTGTCTTTGTGTAAACCATGGCGGATGTGTGTTTCTTGATGTTTCTTTGCAAGGGACATGCTTTTTAAGGAGTACATTAATTTTTTTTGAGTAGGACTCAATTCTCGTCGGTAGATCTAGTTTCAAGTTCGTTGCTTAAGCATTCAGAGGTAAAAGTTTGTATGTCTTTCTTGTAGTTCTGTTCATCCATCTTGTTCCAAGGTAGGCTATTCTGCTAGGTTTTGGTGGTCTGGGTAGATTAGCCTTTATATTTATCAGTACAGTGCTGTGGTCGGCAAATGGGGTGGTGGGGCTTACATCAGTGATATGGCCAGGTGAGAGGTAAAACAGAGGTCTAGGGTGTTTTCAGTGTCGTTAACATCCTTACGGGTAGTGAAGGTTACTATCTGGTCCATCAGGTAGTCACCAGCTAATGATAGAATTACTTCCTGGGGTGTGCCATTTGTTTCAATGACTTCAGTAGACCAATTCATATTTGGGATATTGAAATCTCCACCCATAATGATATGTAACATTTCTTGTTTGATTTTGCAGTAGGGGGTCAGCAGTAACAGCCTATAAATACATTTTCGTTTCCAAAAATTTGATTGGCACCATATTTGTTCACTAATCTCTGAGGATAAGTCATCTCTATTTATGAAAGACATGGTGTTTCTGACTGCAATGAAGACTCATATTGGTACAAACAAATTTCTACCAATATTAAATTGAATCCGTAGAACAATTTCGCTACCCTAGAAGTGTTCTATCCGTAAATTGTCCATCCTCAACCTCAAACACTTCCTTGATCGCAAATCGCTTGCCTTTATATTCAAATTTCATATCCTCAATGCGGCAATGCCATGGAATACCGGTATTGAATTTATGGTAAAATTCTAAAGTGTGAAATTAGTTTACTTAAACGGATGAATATCTCTTTTCTAAAATATCATCAATCAGACTTATCTGTACATTATATTTATCATACCATATTTAATCAGTTTAATATTTCAACATTTTAAACCTGACAAACGTTTTACACCCTCTGAGCAGCCTTGGAAAGATAGCCAAGAATGAAACATCCACTTTACTCCATCCCCTTCCCGTCGCCAATAAGATATTTCTCTTTGTCACTCCCGCTTTGAAACGTCATTCCTTCCATATTGCCTTATCCTTGCATACACCCTCTCTATTGACCCTTCCACAATCTCCCACTTCCTTATTATATAAAGCAAGATCTTAACATGTAGGTCAGTATTAAATCACTTTTACAGTTTCTTCAAATCTATCTTGTCGTGACTGTCTTTGTTGTAACTTGTATTGCTTTGCATTTTACTGTAACACAGGTTAGCAGATGATGGCCCTTGATGACATATTGATGCAAAAAAATAGAATTGAATTGAATTTTTGTCAGATTCATCGTCAGTTACGTTTCAATTTATATTATTCATTGCATTGTTTTGTTTTTTTCCCCCTCCCCCCCCCCCTAAACTAAGGAAATACATGAAAATGGTTAGCTGCAGTTATTTTTTTAATTTCTTTTTGTACTGGGTAAGAAAATATCAATCTGCATTTATACAAATCAATAAGGCCTTCTTTCGACTACCGCTGGAGCTCCAAAATGTTATTACTCTTCTTCTTGACAAGACTCAACATCGTTTGATAAAGCTGATTGTTCCTAATGTTCAGTGGCGTAGGGATGGGCAGTGCAGCCAGTTTCAATCACAGCTATTAGGGGTCATTAGTGATAGGCCTAAAATAATAATATAACTTAGCTAAAAATAATTTATAACTTAGCTTTTGAAGAAAAAACGGCCATCTGGCCCTGCATATTATCTAGGTTTTTAGAAAATATTGATAGCTATGTTCATTAAAATTGAAGGAGGTTCAAGGGAGTTCCAGTCAGCCTTCGCGGACCTCCTACATTTTCAAAATTATAAATGAAAATGGGAAACAAGGAAAGTATTGTTAAATATAGGTTATATATTGGCTACTTTTAATAAGTAGTATAACCATGGAGGAAATATATAAATAATTAATCTTTATATATTTCCTCCATGGTATAACACAGTTCCTTTTAGTACACTGCAAACATTTATTCACACAAACTGTACGTTTGTTACAATCAGCTAAACTCCAGGTTTCAGATGTTAGAGAACCCTTTTTGAGTGGAGTCAGCTCAGCTCTGTAACTACTAAATTGAATCTAACTACTGACTACTGACTACTGACTCAGTGATATGGGGGTGTTTGCCTATTATACTTTAGGTAATGGGGGTGTGTCTCAAGTAAGTCACCCCATACTTTTAGAGTTTCTGATTGGATCATAGAGAAATTCTTTCTCTATGATTTGTAACTTGTTTACCAAAAAACTACTAATTAAGATGTATCACAAACTTCAGAGCTTAGGCTCAAAACTGACAATCATAACATAAAGGTAAAATATACTACAATGTGTAGTAGACATAAAGCAATATAACAATTCATTTTAAAAAAAATTAAATCGTTAAACATAAAAAATCATAGCATATAATACAAGTGGTGCAAGATGAATACGTGTCAATTTCCATCAATTTATCAACTTCACTCTCTTTCTCTCCATTCTTTTCTTAAAAAATACAAATGAATAACATTTAATTAATTAACATTTAATATGGTTTTTTGCATGTGTCTTAGTCATCGATTTAACATTAGATTGTATTTAAACGTCTAGTCTTGCCATATCCGACGTAACGTAACTTTATGAGGAGGAACTTAAATTAACTGTTATTTAACTTAACATTATTTACTTACTTATTTCCTAAAAAATCAATTGCTTCTATTGCACGTAGACTGGAATTCGTCTAGTCGTGTTTACTAGCAATACACATATGCACTTTAACTCGTTATCGTTTAATATCATCACGTATTTCATATATCAGTATAACTTTATCATACATTTATCCTAAGCATTTCATGACAAGAAAAATTATGTAAATTTGGATTATTTGCACTCATATGTACTTATATTCAGTATTCATTTAAATTGACGAATGTATCCTCATATTACATATATTTCATTAAACCTGCATGCATTAACAACTCAACAAGTACTAAAGCTTGTTTATTTAGTGTTGCAATATAAGCTTGGATTATTCAATGATTCATTAATCGCTTCATTACATTTAAATCATAAACAAAATTGTTGTATTCCTCATCATAAAATTATAAACTCGATTTAAATCATTAGACATGTCAGAATATAAATCGTACTTAAATCATTACGCTGTGCATTCACACAATATAATTTCTCAATATTTAAATTCAATATACGTATCAATATTTATTTCAAGATTTCAGTATAATTTCATGTTTACACGATAAATTAAATTTGGGAATAAGTAAATAAAATTCAATGTTCTCGAATTTTGAAGTGCGTTTACGAGTGGTGCAATTAGTAAGTGAACGGTTATCGTCACAATTTATAATCGAAGAATTTGTCCTCTACACGTCCAAGTTACATAAATTCTGTCTAGAAAATTAATTAAATTATTAAATGAATTTATTTATATCAATTATCTTTTTAGCTTTAATAACCTCAAAAATTGCCTGGCTATGTGCAATTGAAATTGGTTATACAAATTGGTATACATGTGCGATTCTGCAAAATCAACAGTCCGTTAACCTAATCTGTGCTGAATATTTGCTATATTATTGATGTTTATACTTGTGTTTTGATATCTAAATCAATCAGGTATCGATTAAAATGTGCTTGTATTAATATTCAACATTTCGCTATTTTGACCTTAACTTGTTTAAAAAAATTAAAATTGCGCACTACAAAAAAAAAACGTGGTTGATGTAATAAAATCAAATTAATTTAAAAAATAATTATTAAATTAAAACCAATTTTTAATGAGGGATAAAAATATGAACAAACTCTTTCTCACAATGATGGAATGCAACAATGTATTCAACTTACCCAATTATATGTCTGTAATCTTCACAACATTCATGCAAGTTCATTCAAAAATAAAAATGTAATCAAAACAAATATATAATGTTCAAAGTAAAGTTGGTCTAGTGTTCAAAAAATATTCTTGAGCGTTGTCATTTCCGTCATCAGGGAGGGAAGTCCAATTAATGTCAGCTTGTCTCGAATCCTAAAATCTTTGTCATCTGTCGGCCTGTCTCGAATCCTAACATCTTTGACATCTGTCGGCTTGTCTTGAATCCGAACATGGTGTTCGTTTGTCAGCTTGTCACAAATCCGATTTTTTTTTTTTTCGTTTCAATTCTCTTCCTGTAATGTGGATGCCTGTTGTTTTGTTTTACTTCTCATGGTTTTCAATTCTTGTTGTTAGTTAGTTGCGGTAATTGAGAAAAATTTTAATTCAGTTCCAAGAGTCATGTCATTCAGAAAGGAAAAATAATCTGCTTAACCGCTATTCGGGTATCGTGTAGTGCGTCTTCCATGTTAAATATCGGTTAGTTTTTGGTGTGATTTTATTTTCAAATCTCTGAGAGTGCCATTTTCGGGTATTTAGGGATGATATATTCATAACATGGAGAAAGCAACGCGACAAGGCGCACGCAGCAAAGCGTTTCCAATCTCGGAGAGTGCCATTTTCGGGTATTTAGGGATGATATAATCATAAATTGTTTTACATCGCCATCTGTCAATTCCCTCTCTGGGCACCTCTATTTCGAATTTCTGGATCTCCAATTCTGCAATTTTCCTTTGTTTCACATGCCACAAATTTTCTTAATTAGTTTAGAACCTTGGTATTCAAATTATGGGTTGCGAACCCATAAAGGATCGCTGGGCGTTTATTTAGAAAAGCAAACTTAGTAATCGAAGCTTGTTACGGTAGTTTATCAAATTTATTTGATAGGGTCTCACATTTTAGAACAATATTAACTTTTATTTGGTTTCCGACACAGACAAATAGTCACTAAAATGGTATTTTATTGCGCATTATATGCTATTCGCGGACTCAATTAAAGTCACCAAAATATATCGATATAAACATAACATAAAATATGTTTGTACTCCATGCTTGTTATGTTAATTAAAGTTATCTGATAGGAGTTTCCATTTTGTTTTTTAAATGCTGGACGTGTTTACTTTCATTTAGTGTTCGGCACAAAAATACTTAGTGAAGTTAGCTATATAGAGTCGCCATTTGAAAAAAAAAAGTTTAAATACCAAGCCAGGTATTAATCAATCTCAGCTTAGCAAATGTCTAATCCTACGATTTTTATTCTTTGGTTCAAAATACGCCCTCGTAAATTTAAAAACGTCGGATTTTTCAGAGATTCCTCTAACCCACAGGGGAAATTTACGGCACCCAGCACAACCTCCCCACTAGTCAAAATTCAAGCCTACGGCCCTCGGTTGTCAAACATCAAAGGACCCAGCAACTAATCCTGCACTGGGGCCCGTTCTCACTTAATTCGGGTACTCACTGCGTCGTATGACGACGCTGAGCACTCACTGCGTTGTACGACGGTCGTACGACCGTCGCACGACGAATCTAACTCCCTTCCCTGTGAGAGATAGACGAGGCGACGTCGTCTGCTGAGTGCCGGTGGCATTAAAAATGAGCCGTTGCACGTGCGTCGTCGCGTTGCGTGCTTCGTGGAATCTCGTCGGCCCGGCGACTGTCGGGTGCAGCGTGTGCTAGGCACTAGCTTCGCCACTGCTAAGCTTGGCACGAAATTAGAACCACTGTCACATCGTTATAATGTAGCTTGTTACTCTATCGTCTTGTTCACTATCACTGATCCGATGATCTGTTTTCTCTATTGCCACAATGGCGAACTTTTGTAAGTATTTGTCTTGGTTTCAAATCCCATCCACTGGTTTTCTCAAAAGCTAAGACTAATGCATTTTTACATGCTTTCATCCGTCAATTTGTTTTTCTCTGAAACTCACTGTTTTTTTATACTATCTTCCTTCTGTTTATCAATCTTTCTCCCAATTTAAATTTCCTGTGATCCGGTTTCGTTTAAATAAGTAACCCCTTACTTGTAGTGGCATTATTAACCTTGTTTGAGATGATTGTCAAAAAAAAATATATATGTGAAAGCACGTTATAGTGACTGAAACCCAACAATCATTAAAACCAATAAAAAATGTATACTTAAACGGAGGCGTCATGGTTCATCGGAACATTTCAAAAGGCCCACGACAGTTATAAATAGAGTCATTTATGACTATATCATTCTAGTAGCAGACGAAACGTCAAGTACAGTAAAATGTAAGTAGCATCCTTTTATAATACATTACTTTAGATCATTAAAAATAACTGTCATCGAATTTAATTATTTGTTTTTCATACAATGATGACATGATGTGAGGTGTATTTTCGAGAAAATATATATTAAGTGATATTTTGACAAATGTTGGGTTTAAATGTTTCTGATAGGTTTAATATGTATCTTTCATTATAACAAATGTTCTGAATTGACTTACATTAGTAAATAGTGTTTTAAGGTACATTTTTTAAACCCCTTTTACAGAATTGATGGGAAAACCAACACAAAATTATTCAGTAGTTTATCTTTAATGTCAATTTTCTCGAAAGTATATTTTCAGAAATTTAAATTCAAGCCTGGCCAATTCTTACTCATCTTAGTCACGTGTAGCATATGTGACATGTAATCTCATGTGTAACAGGCAACATTTTATTTCCCATAGCTATGTATATTAAGAGTTCCTAATACGACATCGTTATGCAATCAGTGAAATGAACACTAGAAAATCGCTATGTAAAATTAATTATTAAATAATGTTAATACTTAAATATTATTTGCTTCACGTTAGAATGTTAACCGTTGAGATGTTTTACTCGGATCAATCGTTGACTGTCACTCTCTTTCAGTAAGCATTAAAAATGAATTACGACAAAGTAATAGAAAGGAATAATGTATACCATAAATTTATTTCCAGTTAACTGAGCTTTGATTAAAGCTTGGCCAATTCTTACTAATCTTAATCACGTGTAATTTCATGTGTAACATAGGCAACATTTCATGTATATCAGAATCCTTAATACAACATCGTTATGCAATCAGTATGAACCATACCTAATTTTATTGGTGTCCCATACTCGATTTCTTTTTTTCCGTCTATCTCTAAATTAACATTCTCGTTGGTGGCGCTGTCCAGAATGAGAAAAATAATAAAAAATAAGAGATTTGTGGCAAGTCTATATGAACTGAAATGAACACTAGAAAATCGCTATGCTGTGCCTGTTAACATAAAGTTCTTGTCAAGCGCGGTGGGACCATATTGTTGGTATTTTGTCAGTCACCTGTGTTTCTTTACTTAATAAATGAATAACGGAAAGTTGTGTAATTAAAAACTAATGTAAATGCGTGATGATGTTGGTGATTTTAACAAAAAAAAAAAAAAAAAAAAAAAAAAAAAAAAAAAAATATAATGCGTCGGCTTCATTAACGAATTGTGTTCAATCACACATCTGCTTGACTTCAGAATTGTGGAGAAAAAACAAACACAATGATGCCTTGCCATGCACTGAAGAAAATTAATTATAAAACTTTTAACTGAACTCAATAACGTTGATTTAATGGCTTATAATAACGTGTAGCTTAGTATTAGCATATCAATATAATTATTGTTCAAAATCGATATTAAACGAAAATCCAATACAATATCATATCACGTTTTGTTAAAGTAAATGTTTACAATGTCAGATATAGGCCTACAGCTGTTTCTGATCTAAAAAGCAAACACATAAATATGTACTTTTTTGTCTGATCTAACATCCACGACTAAAAACCTGAGAATTTAACGATACCATTTTTGTTATACTTTACTACCGGCCATGAGCTTTATATTCTGGCAAATAATGTTGTTAGCACAGGAAAAAATATAATTTTGACATCGGCAAACCGGCTTCTTAAGAACACTCCTTTATAAAAATAAAACATTAAAAACATGATATATTATGCTAATGTCTAAAATTACGGACGCTAGGCGGAAATAGCACTTTCGTGCATTAAAAGAAATTGTATTTTTTGGAGTGTGTATGTAGTCATTTTTAAAATATAGTGGCTATCAAGTATCTTTTGAACAAATAATATGCATTAGCATTTTTCTGGCAAACGAATATCACCTTACTCGAGATTTCAGTATTTTAAGAATAAAAGAAAAGGTTATGCAAATGCAATGTGGTTCACTTTTTTAAGAGAATAAAATATTACGCGTAGTTGATTGGTGAGCGAAGCAATATATTTTCATTTTAAAAATATCAACAATTTGGTATCGACTTTCCATGCAATAAATAAAATTAATGTTGGTTTATTAGCTTAGAATAATGTATACGTTTAGTTCAGCATCAGCATGGTAATATGAATACTGTTCAATTAGATAATCCAATACAATATTATGCCATGTTTGTATAATATATTTTTTTTCTGATCTTACATCTACCACTAAAACTATGAGTTACTATTTTTCAAATACTTTATAATCGGTCAGGAACATTCTATTATGGCGCACCATGCCAGTATCACGGGGTGGGGGGGAGGTTGTGCGCATTGTGTGTCCAGAATTTAATGAAGGGTTTCTGAAAAAGGGAATCTACTTTTAACGCCACCATGGGTGGTACTGAAGTGCGAACATTTTCAATTGTTTTGCCTGTTGATGCCCGAAAATGAAACTTAAAAATTGTTTATATTTGACCAATTGAGTCGACAAAGACGAGAGACATGAGTAAACTCAAATACTCTCCAGTGATGGTACATAACACAAAAGGTAAAATATTTAAATATTGTACCTTGGGTCATATGCTGCTGACAAGAAGGATGTTATATCTCGTAAGGCCCTAGCCTCGGTTGCCTGTTAAAAACTTAGTAGGTACAGTCTTATGGAATCAGTACGGCTGACTGGATGATTGATATACACTATTTAGGACTGTTTTGATCTCAATAAACAGACACCAAAGACGCTATTGTAATTTTGACACAATATTCAGGGAAAATGGAATAAGACATATACAAATGGTGCTCAATAATGTTAAAACTATCAGCCACAGGGTAACAAGGCATTCTTTCGAGATGTGTTATGGACTTGGTCCAAGCATAACGATCCAAGACTGTTTGTTAGCGCTTGCCTACTGCTAAGTAAGTGTTACGCTGCATGATGTTCCATGCGAATGAAGATTTGTCTGTCAAGCGACCTAAATGGGACAGTGCAAAGTTAATTATATTATAAAAAATAATAAAAAATAAGAGACTTGTGGCAAGTCTATATGAACTGAAATGAACACTAGAAAATCGCTATGCTGTGCCTGTTAACATAAAGTTCTTGTCAAGCGCGGTGGGACCATATTGTTGGTATTTTGTCAGTCACCTGTGTTTCTTTACTTAACAAATGAATAACGGAAAGTTGTGTAATTAAAAACTAATGTAAATGCGTGATGATGTTGGTGATTTTAACAAAAAAAAAAAAAAAAAAAAAAAAAAAAAAAAAAAAAAAA